CTGAAGGAGACATGGGCCAGGTCCACAAACTGGACCGGTTACTAACATTGAATCCCAACCTTGCTTCTTATGCATGAGAATGCTTGGGGAAGGCATTCCAAGAGAATGGGGAACAACCCCAACCGCCAGGTCCCAAATCTTTATGGTGGCAGGGAATTATTCCCCAAACTGAGAACTTTTAGGGAACTAAAAGTCCATCCAGTGTACTCCAATGGATTCCTTTGTCCCAGCTTGCTGTAACCCAGCTGAGCCCTGAGGGGTTGAGACTAGGACCAGGGTGTTGTTATGGCAGATGAAGTTCCATTAACCTTAAGTCTTAAGGTTCTAGTACGGATATTATTCCCAGACCCTCATCTAATCCCCAAGATCTACACATTCTGGGGATTCCTCCCATTACCCCTACAGCCCTATGTTCTTTGCCGTTTCCCAATGATTTAAGTTTCCTAAATACCCCATCTCTACTCCCATCCCAGCCAACTAGGCACAACTTTAGAACAAGAAGACCCCGCCTGGGCTGGCTGGCTGGCTAGTGATAGCCCAATCTTTTGTATTCTTCCCTTGTTACCCCCACCCCCAAGTCCTAAGAAAGATCTGTAGCTTCCAGTCAGGTGGTCAGAAGATGAGAATAACCCTGCACCCCTAGTGCAGACTGGGAGAAAGGTAGGGTCACCCTGGGGATCTGGGGCCAGAGGAAAGAAGCAGCTAGAGTAGGTACCTGTTCCTGCCCCTGAGCTTGTGGTCCGTCTCCCTCCCCCCTCCCCATGACTGACAGATGCTAATTTCCTGTAAAGATTCCTCCAGGCTCTCTCCAGCTCCCGCTTGCTCCTTTATCTTATCAAAGCCCCGTAATTACAATTGCTATTTTGTTTCCTCGAATCAGCAATCCGAGCTCCCAGCCCCAGATAGTAGGAACTGCTGTCAGCCTGATCCCTGACTGACAGCCTCAGCCCCTTGGAGGCTTCCCTCCCCCTTACAAATACACTTTAAGAACACACACATTCTCTACCAAAACACACACACACACACACACACACACACACACACACACATCTCTGGAGACACACAACTTTAAACACATATATTTAGGCACAAACAACAAACATACTACAAACACATCCCTTTGGACACACTTTATAAACATGGACTTTTAGACAAATACTCTACAAACACACTAAAACCCTTTTGACATACACTTTACAAACACTTTAAACAGCCAAAAACAAAACAAAACAAAAACCCAGCCTCTATTTATTGAGTCTTCTATGTACTCAACCCTGTGCTTGCCACTGAGGGGTAGACTGAAGATAGATAAGACATGGTCTCTGGCTACCAAATATTTACAAACAAACTCAGGCCATGAATCTTCAAAACATACTCTCCTGTCTACAAATATCAACATGTTCATTGTAAAGAAGTACCCATTTTGCAATAGGAATGGTCTACATAAACCTCTTCATACATCAAAATCAACCAGTCTTTCCCTCCAGAATCCTGCCTCCCCCTCCCACTCACCAGGCCAGCCAGCCCCCTTGCCTGGGCTAACTGTAGGGGAGACAGGAAGAGGTGAAGCCTCAGTGTCTACCCTACAGGAGCTCAGTCTGCCTGGGAAAGAAGACACACATGGAAAGTTAAATAACAATACAAGAGTTAAATAACATTATTAACACATGCAGGCTAACACTTCCACACACACCATTGCCACATAAATACAATAGGCTCCCACTATAAGGCAGATTTCAAACCAGACCTTCAATAAACACTCACTCTCCTGGAGATCACATAGACACTTGGCATAATCCACAGGTGGGGAGATACAGATGGGTTGAGGTTGTATATGTGTGAGTGCTAGAGGGTTAGAATGACTGTCCACAGTGTGTGGGGGGACTTATCAGAAGCCCCACTCTACACCCCATATGTACTCCATAGGGATGGGACCCACAGGACTCCTCTTCCCCAGCCATGAGGTCTGAGACATCCCACAATAGTGTGCTAAGCTCATAAATGTGGAACTCACGCTTCGAGATTCATTCATTTGCTCATTCATAATGAACACATTTATTAAGTACCTATGAGATTCATTCATTTGCTCATTCATAATGAACACATTTATTAAGTACCTACTATGTGCTACATAGTGATAGAGATACAAAGATGAATAAGGTTTGGGCTTTGTCCTTTTTGCTATCCCCTGCCTTATTCCTTACTTCTCCCCAACCAGGCTTGGGTATGAAACACCCTGGTATAGTGCCTAATACATAATGTAGGGGATTCCCTACATTTCTCCTTCTGGGGCTGACTCCCTCAGTGGGCCAGTATTCTTGCCTGAGACCAAGGTGGGTGGAAGAATGGGGAACTGGGCCTAGGGGTGGTGGTGGTGATAGGTCTGAATGGGGGCCAATTTCTCTGGCTCAGTAATATTCTAGCTTTGCCCACCAGGTGGTATCAGTCCCTAGGAATTGTGAAGTTGGGGAGAGTGAGATCAGTTTCCCGACTATGCTTCCTTCCCTCCTCATCCTTCCCTAACTCAGTCATGGGGAAGGTGTTGTTGTGAGGAGGGTAGGGAGCTATACCTATTTTTGGAAAATAACTAGTCCAGTGTAGCCAACCCAAGCCTTGATTATCTGCAATTGTCCCCATGCCTGGAATACTCTCCCTCCTCACCTCCTAGTTTCCCTGCTCCAATACTGCCTTTCCCTGTCGTCCTCCCTATCCAGTGCCTTCCCTCTAAGATTATCTTCTGTTTATACATTCTGTATCTTATATGTATAATTTTTTGCACATTGTCTTCCCCATTAGAATGTAAACTTCTTGAGGGTAGGCACTATGTTTTTGGCCCCCCCCCCCTTTTTATACCCAATGCTTAACAAGGTGCCTGACACATAGTAAATTATATATTTGTTGACTACATACAAAGAAAGGTTGGGAGGAATGTCTCAGACTCAAGCGTCAGCAGTAGTACTGAGTGGTTTGCAATTGGGCTGGGGCAGGGCTTAGGCTGGGGATTCTAATACCCCTCACCAACTCTATCAGTCCTTTGGGGATGCATTCACACTCATCAATTTAGAAGAGAGATAACTTTCCTCATTAGGGTAAGTCTTATATGTTGATATCTAAAGATCTGCATTTGGGAGGTGGGGACCAATCCAGAGCCAATGACCCTTACTCTTCTCTAGGGATATCCATAAAACTGACATTATCAGTCTCCCAAGGAGCTGCATACCCATTTTTTTGGTTGACCCCTTCCCTTTGAGACTAAGAGAAGATCCTAGGATACTTCCCTCTCCCAGTCATCATCTTTGGTGTCCTGCCTACCCCCAGCTGCTGTCTTCTTGGGGGAATCTAATACAATAATAATAGCTAGTATTTACATGTCCCTTTAAGATTTGCAAAGTGTTTAACAAATATTTTATCTTCCCAATAACCCTAGGAGGTAGCTGCAATTATTATTCTGATTTTACAGATGAGGACACCAAGGCAGATAGAGATTACACAGGGTCACACAACTAAGTGACTGAGGTCAGATTTGAACTTGTCTTCCTAACTGCAGGTCCAACACACAATTCACTGTGCTACCTTGAAGACTACAGGCAGAAAATGCTAAAACGGTATTTGTGGTGGCGGTGATGGGGGCATCCTGGAAAAAAGAACATCTGAAGATCTTGCCTCCCACCCAACTAGAGTCATTCTAAACAAAACACCCCATCTCCCTGAAAGTGGCAGGGGAAGGAAACCTATTCCTAGAATCCTGAGTCTATTTGACCTTCTGGTTGCCCTGAACTGCTCACCCCAGGACTTTGTAACACAGGATGGGCCTGCAGACCATCCTGGGCCTCTGGACAAAGCAGAGGCCAAAGGGAAGGGGGGGAGAAGAGAATCTCAATGTTTAGGCAACATACACAGAAAAATGGCATCCTTCTGTCCTGAGTCTCCAACAACACTGCAAGACGAGCCAATGGTGGTGGTGGTGATAGTTCCTTCTGAGCACCTGTAAATTAATCTCCCTTCTGGTAGCACCCTACCCCCATATGCCAGGTGGGGGGGTGGGAGTGGGGGGTGGGGGGGTAGGAGTGGACTCTGGTTACCCAGTCACCCAATCTGGGATGCTACCCCCCCTCTCCATCTGGCCCTGAATCAGGTTTCTTAGGATAGTCCAGAGAAGTCCAGCGACTTTCACAAGGCCAGGGGTGGGGGGGGGAATAGGGTGGTAGGGTAGAGGAGCTGACTCAGCCCTCTTTGAAGTATGTTCTTTCCTCCCCTCATCTGGCAGAGACCCCAAAGTACAGTGTTTCCCCACCAATGCCATGGGGGGGCTAAGTGTAAGGGCCCAGCTTGAGCCTCAGTCCCCAGAGAAGGGGCTAGGCATTCCTTTTTCTTCATCCCATAAGTCCATTATCCACAAGGCCGAGAGTATGTGGCACCCCCTTCCCCAGGGCTCCTCAGCCCAGTGCTGACAGAGGCTCAGACCCATGTTTGGATGCTGATAACCTCCCAGGGTCTGGCCCTCCCCTTCTTTCACACCCAGGAGTTGGGATTGGAGTGTGTGTGTGTGTGTGTGTGTGTGTGTGTGTGTGTGTGTGTGTGTGTGTGTGTGTGTGTGTGTGTGTGTGTTTTGGGGGGAGGGGGCACTGGAAGAGCAGACTTCAGTGCTGTTGGTTTGTTAGGGAATACATGCCACTTGCAATGGATCCTTTGGGGTGAGTTAGCCAGCAACTCAGTCTTCCGTGGGGGACGATTCTTCTCATATATTGTGCCCCAAACCAAGCCATAGACGTAAAGGGGTAAAAGGGGGACTGAATCTTAGGACGCCCCCTAGAGGCAGCACTTCCAGCCTGCACAAAGCATCCCCCTCCCCACCTCTGCCCTACTTCCCCTCTATAAGGCCAGACTGCCATCTGGTGGTCCCAATAGGAACTCTACTCCCCAAGGACCACCAAAATTCAAACATGAAGACACACTTCCCAACCCTCACCAGGAGGATAAACAGATGAACTTGCAGGGGGAAAAAAAAAACCACTTTATTTTCAACTTCTTCCAAAAATGTAAAAATGTCTGGAAATACTTAGATTTCTGAATAAAATCATTTCACTGTCCATCTGCCCCACTCAGGAGGATGGAAAAATCTTTGTTCTTCCATTCCCTTTGCCTCACCCCACCCCCCAGTTATACCTTTCTCCCTATATGAAAGTAAGAAAAACCTGGAGCAAAGAGGTGAGGGGTGGGGAGGAGAGGAGAGAGGAATTAGGGCTTGTGTTGGGACAATATCCCACTGGGATATTGATACTGGGACCTCGGGATGGCATTCTGCTGGGGGGTATAAAAGGGCACCTGGGTTCCTTCTCTTTGTTCCTAAGAGCTGTTCTGGTCCCTATTCTCTTGCAGATAAATCAAGAAAACCATAAAAAACCATTTTTGAAACATCCAGGAGAAACAGGACCATGTGAGTAGGAGGGAGAGACAACTGTGGGCCTGAAAAGACAAAGAGAGATAGGACAGGTCAGAGGTCAGCCCTTAACAGTCCCACCCCTGGGACTTGGGTACTGGAGAAAGGAGCTCCTCCTTTCCTCACCACTGTACCCCTAGTGAGATAGTGGAGTGGAGTGGGGTATCTCTTCCCACTCACCTTGGCCAGTTATAGCCTCCCCTGCCGCTTCTTGGCAGGCAGAATGGGCAGCAGTTCTGGGTCCCTGTCTTCACTCTCATCCTCTTCTGAGAATTCACTGCCCTCCATAGACACTAGTGAGCAGACACACCATCAACATCATGGAGGGGGAGAGGACATTCTCCCCTGTCTCTTGAGCCCCATTGTGGACCTAGACTTAGAATCAGCCACATTGAAGGCAGACACACTAGGAGCAGGGGTTTCCCAGGACAAGACATCACTACCACCAGAGAGAGTCTCCCAGTCCTTGGGAAGTTTATAGCCTGGCTGGGATAATAGCATCCACAGAGGAGGCAAGCCAAGAACCATAATAGAATTGTCTCCTGATGGCAATACCGCCACTGAAGGCTTGGTCAAGGCTTGGTTGGTAAGGTAGCGCTTACTAGAGGAAAGAGAGTTGAGCTGGCTAGGACAGGTAGGATTCAAATCATTTAAAGATGCCTAAGTCGTAAGGGGTGTGAGGTTGGAGGAAGGGCATTCCATGCAAGAAATAAGGTAGGCCAAAGCCCAGGTCTGGCATATATGGGAGCAATGAGGGAACTTCTCTGATTGGATTGGAGAAAGGGCTCAGAAAGTAGGAAGGTGCCTGATTATAGAGTCTTGAATGGCTAGGGAGTTTGGTCTCTAGACAGTGGTGAGATGATCACTGGTGAAGGTGAAAGACAGGATGCTTCAGGAAGGGGGTAGTCTGGCATCTCCACAACCCCCTCACCAATCTGGTGCCTCCCGGTGACACGCACAGGACCAGAGCCGAACTTCAGGTAGAAAGTCACTGGAGGCTGGAGTGGGAAGTCACCTAGGCTGAGCTGAGGGAGTGGAGAAGGGAGAAGTCTAGTTGAAGGCTCATAGCCCTGGTCCAAACCCTACAGCTGAGTAAGTCAAAGCGTCATAAACATAGAGCTAGAAGACACTTCAAAAGCCATCTAAGAAACTGAGGTAACTGCAGAAGTGGGAGTCCTTAGGGTCTTTCTGGCTTGAGGTTGGATGGGAAGTGATAAAAATGAAAAGAATGCCCCAGCCTCTAGGCTAAGTTCTGACCCTAATAGATTGGGGTGAAGGGACAAGGGTGAGGGGTTACTCTCACCATGGGCTGGCAGGACAGTTTCAGGTTGGCCAGTGGCACAGCAATTTCCTCATTGTCATGGTTTCGGGCCACCACCTCCACGACATTGCACTCTTCCTTAGCATCTTCTGTGAGGCAGAGCTGGGGTGGAGATGACAGACAGAACCAAGGCCTCATAGTCATCTGGGCACCATGTTCATCGGACTGAACAGGACAGGCCGCTGGCTCTGATGAGCTGATCAGACCCACTGGAATGACCCCCCACCCCCACCCCCTCCCCCTCAATCACTAGGCCACATACCCAGTGAAGAGGATTAGTTATGCAAGGCTTCCTAGCAGTAGCTTTGCAGTAGCTGGTTAGTCTGGGAGTCCAGGGATCCTGGTGTCTGCAGCCCTAGCCTTGGAAGGGATATGCCATTGTCTGGACACTGGACAGAGACATTGATAGGCCATCTCTCTATCCGGTCCTAGCTGGCTGCGTACATAGGGTGGGATTACAGAAGGAAGCCTACAAATTACATGTGGATCCCCTCACCATGGTCAATGCCAGCACATGCTCCGTGTTGTCCTCCTCCTCTACCTTGAAGGTGTAGGCCCTAGCCTGCCCGGACAGCTCACAACCTGGGAAGGCGGGTGCAATGGGGAATGGAAGGGGGACGGGAGGGTATTGGGGGAGCCCTGGGAGCGCTCCTTCCTCGCCCAATCCTACCCCCTCCCTCCCGCGTGGCTGCTCAGGTCATTCCCTCCCCCCACCCCCGGCTCCGCCCTCTCCACGTGCTGCCCACATCTGGCCCCCAACTCCTCCCACCTCAAAGATCTGGGGGAATCGCGAAGCTGGGGGAGGGCAGGGAGTAGGGGACGCTCGGACCCCTCGGTCACCAGCATCAGCTGTCTTCCTTCCCACGCCCATCCCGCTCACATCTGAATGACTGTGGCCCCCTCTCTCCCTGCCCCATCAGGTACCGAAGAAGAAGCTGTCCATGGTGACTGGGTCCAGGCCCCGCAGCCTCAGGGATCCCATGGAGCCCCCAGCCCGGGCCCGGCTTTCCAGTGCCTGGAACGCCAAGAAGGCAGAGGCGGCGGCCATGCTGCAGGGACCGTCTACAAACTCCACCCCCAGCGCGCACAAAGCAAGGGACCGTCGCCGGTTCCGGCCGCGCTTCTTAAAGGGGCAGCACCCGTCTGAGCTTGAGGGTGGGGGGGCTTAAGCACATCCTAATACCGACCAGCTCCGCCCTGGAAATGGGCAAGGTGAGCGATAGAAGAGCCTCCGGCGCGGGGCTTCCTTCTGTCTCCCTCCTCCCTTGGGCCTGAGCTAACCGTGGGAGTCGATTTCTTCCCAAAAAACAGAGAGCAAAAGACAGACGCACCCACATCCGCCCCTTGAGCGGCGTTTGCAGACCCCGACCAGCACACTCGGGCTTCGAGTGCTTCTAAATCGTCAGCAAGCTGACCTTATCTCGCCACGTGTGCAGCAGGGGTCAGACTGACTACTCATATCCCCTCTTCTACGGTTCCCCTCAAAGTGGTCTTCTTGTAACAGAAGTTGGGCGCCTTCAGGCTGGTTCAGTCCCAAGAGCAGGGCCGTAGCTTCTCAGGAGGCTGCCCTTCTGCTTAGCTTTCCTCCTACACAGAGAGCTTTGGGCCAATGAGATCCCAGTCTCTGTCCTTGCTGGCAAGGAAGGCGTTAGATCTGCAAACCTTCGTCAGTACGCTTAGACAGAAAACTTTCCTGGTTATGCTTGGCCCCTAGGCTGACAACCAGGACAGCAACCTAGGATTTACCTGCCAAGTGAGTCTTCGGATGCGAGTGGAGTTGCTTATCTAATTTAATAAATATTTCCTTGTGTATAGATGGAAAAACTGATACTCATATAAATTGTGACTTACTTAAAGGCTACTCAAAGAATTGGAGTAGGTGGAAAGGAATAAATGAAAGGCACCAAGCATTTATTAAACACAATATGCTGGGGTAGCTAGATGGCGTAGTGGATACACCACCGGCCCTGGAGTCAGGGGGATCCGAGTTCAAATCCGACCTCAGGAACTTGACAACTCACTAGTGGTGTGACCCTGGGCAAGTCACTTAACCTCATTGCCTAGCCAAAAAAAAGCTTCATTAATTAATATGTGCTTAATAAATGCTTGACTGCTTATCCCAGAAAAGTGAGGAACTGAGGGTGACATCTTTTCCTGGAATCTTCTTCCACACCTCATACCACTATTTGGCATGTGACTCAAACCTTCTCCTCCTCCTAACCTTCCTTCCTCTCCACACCCTTCAACTTTCGACAAAGAACTATGTTTGGCAAAATTCATCAGCACCCCTCTTCAACAATTCTCACACTAAGGTCTACAACTCGTGGTTTTATGACACTTTAAAAAATCCCATGTACCAGTAAGACCTAGCCCTAATACTTCTTCATGCCCAGGCAGAATTGGGCTCAGCACCTCCACTTTGATCGATTTCTTAGTGCCCAGGATGATAGAAAATAATACAGGACGCTAGACTCAAGTAGGTATGGGTAAAATTGCTGTCTCCCACCCACCCCCAGCTGCAAATTAGTCAAGGGACAATTGTGCGGCTCTTCCAATCCCCAATTTGTAAACTGTGTGGCTCATTCCCCTGCCTTCAGTCCTCTCACTGTGATTCCCGGCCTAGCTGGGAGCTTCCAACCAGCTCATTTGCTCCCACTGAAGACCATAGTGGGAGGCTAGAAGGCATCCTGAAAATACTGGGGACACACTTCTACAGAAGTAGGGAGTATGTGTGTATGTAACTACAAAAAGTCTACTAGAATCAACCACTCCTCTTCCTCTCTTGTAACGTTTAGTGTCTAGCCTAATCCTAGAAGTTGTATGAAATGTTGCTCACACACACAAATGCTTAAAAAGTTAAACCAAAAACTTACCTGAAAGAGTAGGCTAGGATGTTGGAATTCAAAGCTTCTTTACCAAAGTCTTTAATCACCCCCCAACCTACTTATACTTCCTCTTTGTAACTGGGATTAGAACCTGAGTCTTCTGACTTTCAGTCCATGAAGTTCAACCAACATTGGTTGGAGTTTCCTGTGAGGAGGCTGTCCAAGAGGGCCAAAAAGCAGCAGGACTGAACTGGTTCCTCCAGCAGGTTCCCTCCCCACAGCCAAGATCAATCATTGCAATTCAAAATATGCTTATTCAAGTCTTGTCTTAAGAGCCATTATACAAACTAGAGGTTAGGCCTAATGAGAAATAAGGAAGGGGGTCTTAACTCCTTGCTCCACCCATATTTTAGACACAGGTCAAATCTTTGGCACCCTACTTATTTTCCTCTACTCAAGCACAATGCAGTGGAAAGAGCATCATAGGATTAATGGACCTTCGAAAGCACCAACTACAAATATTTTACGAAGAAACTGAAACCTCTGAAGATAGGTGATTTATTCAAGGTCACACCATAAATAGCAGAGGGGAGATCTCTACAGAGGAACAGTACCCCCCAGTTCAGGTCCTGTTCCTTATCACCTGGCCTATTAAAATGACCTGTGTTCTCTCCAATCAATTCTCCACACCTGCCAAATTGTTATTTCTAAAATAGTCATCACACCTGCTTAAGAGGTTTCATGACTCCCAAGTGCCTCTACAACAACATATTCCCATTCGGCATTTAAATCTCTTTGCAATACAGCTCCAGCCTCCCTTTTCAGGTTACTACCCTCCAGCCAACACAAGCAAGTACTCGTTGGTTCCCTCAGAAGGCATTGTATCTTGTCTGGTAGCCTTTGCACAGGTTGATCCAAATGCCTGGAATACACTTTCCTCACTTCAGCCTCCAGAAATTCCTAACTTCCTTAAAGGCCCAGCCCTGCACAAGAACTGACTCCTCGACTTGTGTATTCCCCTGCAAATTAGTTTGTTGTTTCCCTTGGACAAGACAAAAAACTTGAGTGCAGAGAACTTGTCTATTTATAATAGAGTGGCTACATGTTACACATGCTTGTTGAATGAGTTATTTCTACTGCTTCTAGGTTTCGTCAAATGACCGAGTATTGGTTCTGCCACTCATTTGCTATGACTTTACCAAAACCTATTCTAAGAGGTAGCATCTATAAAATGCAAAGGTTCCTATTTGAACACTGATTCTAAGCCAACATCAGTATCTGTATGTTTAAAGACCTGAATCCTAGTTACCATGAACATATGTAGGGAGGAGCAGACTATTATCCTATGCCACAGTAGGACATATGCCTTTCTCCTATTTCAGTCCATTTATTTGCACAAGTAATTCCCTAGGCCTGAAATCTACTCCTTGCCTAAACACCCAGAGCCCTTTTTTCCTTTGAAGGCTTGGCTCATGCATCACCTCCCCCATGAATTCATTCCCTTAGTCATGCTCCCTCCTTCCTCAAATTACCTATTTACTTACACTGTTATAATTCTGTCTACAGATTTTAAAAAAACAAACTACCTATTCCCAGCTTTAGCCTATAACAGAAAAATGTTTGTTGGATATCGAGCCTGCTTGTACAAGATCTTGCTTCTCCTCCAATAACCTCTCTTGATCCCTGTTATATGCTCCTCAGAAGGCCTCAAAAAAATTTAAAGTCTAGCTGCCACTAATACTTCTTGATAGTTTGTTCTCTAAAAGGGAATACTTATCCTCTGTCAGCAGACAGCAGCCAACTTCTCCCTCCAATTCCTGATCTTGTTCTGAGAGGCATATAAGTAGGAAAGCCTTGGGGGTGGCTTGGGGTCAAAAGAAATGCCTCCCTATTTACTAATTCTAGGCAGACAAACTCTGGAATCAGTGTTACTGAACAAAGGTATGGAAGGTGAAAGGCCTGCTAAGGTAGGACAAGACAAAAGACCTAAGTTTCACTGGGCCAAGGTAATGGGTTTGCCCAAGTTGAAGGAAACAACAAACAGTCACTTCAAGTTTTATTTTGCTTCTTGCATGGTCTTCAGATACAGTTTATAGTTCATTTTCTACAGGTAACTCAGAAGATCTAAACAGATTAATGAAAGTGGCATTCCAATCTTAATGAAAGTTCATAACCATGAAAGATGTGTTAACATATGACTTTACAATCCTAGAGTGATGGTGTTGGCCTGGACATCTGTTCTATACAGTTAGCATTTATACATGAATTAATAAGGACAGAGACAGAGATATCAGCAACTTATAAAGCCAGGCTATAAGGCCATAAAGCAAACTAGGACATAATGCTAGGAATCCTGATTAAATTCAAAGCTGGGTCTGGTACTCATGAATAATTGTTCCTTCAGAGAAAGCAAGATAGCTATATGCCATTCTATGCAATGCACTCAAAAACCAGTGACATTAAACTCTTCTTTCCATAAAGCTATAGTTGGACTTCTCTGACCCACTTCAAAAATGAAGACGCAAATTTGCTTCTAGATATTAAACAGGCCAGATTCTTCTATTAAAGGAAAGGTTTCTACTCTGAAAATAAGAAAGCCTTACTTCCACTGGGTGGGATTGGTTATCCCTGGATACCTAGGGATAAAGGGCCTTCTCTCCACAATATACCAGTTAACTGAAAGCCCCGCAGGCTCCAAGACTTAAGACTTCCTCAAAACTCCAATGACTGGAGTCACTTAAAGAAAACTAGCTTTATCCTTTTCCTTCTTCCTCCCCCACAAGGCTGGAATAAGGTACCGAAATGACCGTAGGTGAAATCTATGTTTGGAACTCTCCCTGAAGTGATGGAAAAGCTATAATTTTGCAGAGAATTTACTTGCCAGCATCAATCTCAGACCCCTAAAAAGGAGGCAATACATTAAATCTGAGATACATGAAGCTTTTAGAATCTGTGATTACAACAAAAAATTAGATAACCATTGAAATCACTGGTTAACATGTGCTCATCCTGGTGTTTCTTTTAAAAACAAGAACATGCAGGGATTAAAGACTCTGATTTAATCAAACCTGTATGAACAAGTCTTGAAATTAAAGGACACCTGAACTAAGGGCAAATCCTGATCATCTCCCTATGCCCTACCTATTCCCTAACAGGTGTCAGGGATCACTTACACTGACATGCTAAACCTATTGGGGTTGATTTCTAGGACAACAGTGATAGCATTAACCTTGTTAACAGATCAGCCTCACTTACCAAAGTCAGGACTTCGTACCCAAAATGGTTATGTTTTAGCCCTGGGTGGGAGGCACTTTAAAAATAATTTTGAAAAACAAAGCCAAGGACAAAGAAAAGTTAACTCCATCCTCCAATATGGTTTTACATTATTTAAAAAGTACCATCATGGATCAATACCGTTCCATTTCAAAAGAAAAATTACAAAAACAGTAAACACAAGAGGTTAATCAGCACACAGCTAGTTTATATACAAAGAAATATACAAGTATATATTTTGTGACTTTTGTCACAGACAACTGCACATTTGTCCCTACAAAGCACAACACACCTGAACCAATGGTCATCCCACTGACATTGGCCATGGTTTTGTGAACAAGCAAAAAACATTGCCCAAATCAGATGAGTCACTACTTGTTTTCTGTTGCTAATTGACAACTATCCCACCTAGGATTCTCCATTCCGTAGTATCAGAATTCCAAGGAAACGGTTTTGTCTTTTGTCATGTCATCCAAACAGGAAAAGGACCCATCATTCAACAAATTAATGAGGATGAAGGAGGTGATTTTAGCTGGATATTCCGGGTGAGAAATGCAACCATGTGGATATAGAGAACTACTTCCTGCTTCATTAATGATAGGACCCCCTTCCCTAAAGGTGCAAGAAAGATGGCTTGGCACTTGACACAAGACCTGAAAGGGAGGACCATAATTCTTATTTAAACAGAATTTCCAGCAGTACTCTCTTCTGAACAGCAAGTAGTCTGAATGTGTGAGTGAGGCTTCACATAGTCCTCCCTGCCCCCAATCCCTTCAGCTGACTTCTTCCTCTCCTGAGGCTGGACCACATGAAGACCTCAACCACCACCCACCCACTTGGGAGTTGTCAAGACATTAAGACAGGTCACAATGTCAATGAATGTCACAGGCTCCTGCCAAGGATAACCACATCCTTTGGAAATCCCTCCATTTTTGCTATTTCAAAACAACCTAACTTGCTGTAGAATTCCAGGATCCTCTTATCATCTGGTCTTACTTCACAGAAAGCCCCACGGGAGCCTGAAAATAAAACAAAACAAAAACCACTCAAAATGTAAAGAAGGAGAGCTATTATGATGCGGAATGTATAAATGTATACTATTTAAAAAGTTATTTATCCTTGTACAAATCCTACAAAAAAATCTGGCAACAGAATACAGTATGACAGAAACTGCTGGACTTAAGAGTCATGTGAGACTTGGTTAATTCTCATTCCTGAACTTATTACCTCTGTGATCATGGGTAAATCATTTAACACCAGTCTCCACAGACTAATTTCTAAGATGGGTACAACCATACCTTGTATGTATTGCACCTATGTCACAGGGCAGTTACATGTATTCTCATTTAATTTTACATATAATATATATATATGCATATATATATGTGTATGAAAAATGCTTTGTAAACTTTAAAGCACTGTATAAATGCCAGCTGTTAAGATGGATCAAGGGTCTGATTCATGTTACGGTTAAGTTTCTCCCCCATTCCAAAAATCTTTCAGAGACAAAAGCAGAAAGGAGTGAATGGTGAAAAATACTTATACAAAGGTCCCATTCCGAAAAGGAACAAGTTCCCTGAAGGTAACTATTAAATACAGAGCCTTGTACCCATTCAGTTACAACCTATTTAGATTGTGTTCTCTATATGTAAGATGAATCTTGCATCAGCTAGGTGGCACACTGAATAGAGCACCATCCCTGGAGTCAGGAGGACTCGAGTTCAAATCTGGCCTCAGACACTTACAAGCTGTGTGACCCTGGGCAAGTCACTTAACCCCAACTGCCTTAAAAAAACAAAAACAAAAGATGAATCTTATATAATGAAAATGCCCCAAAGCCCATTTAGAAATAAAAGGTGCATCTGTCTCAAATAAATGTCACAGACTGTTTTGATCTGGAGTTAGAGACCTTAGAAATTATTTAATCCAGTGACTTCATTTTACAGGTTAAGAAAACAGACCCAAAGAGACGGACACACAAGACACAGAAGCAGTATAGCAAAAGTATAATTTAAAGGGGAGGTGACAGAAAAAGGTATAAACATTTATACAGGCATCTAACTGTGCCAGGCACTGTGCTAAGCACTTGCACAAAAATTATCTCATTTGAACTTCGCAACAATTTTGCAAGGTAGATGCTATTATTATCCTCATTTTACAGATGAGGAAACTGAGGCAAGCAGGAGTTAAGTGACTTGCCTAGAGTCACATAGTTAAGTGTCTGAAGCTGGATATGAATGCAGGATTCCTGACTCCAAGTCCAGCACTCTTTATTTATCATTGCATCACCAGCTGCCTCTGGTAGACCCAGATCCTCTGACTCCAGATCAAGCAGTCTTTCCTTCCATTCCACCACAGATACAACAATAAAGAGTAACAAACTAGGTACTCAGCATTATTCCCAACCCTGAAATCCATCTTGGTTTTCCAATTTAGGGAAATTTTCAAAGGAGGGATAGATTATTTTTAAGATTCTATTAATTGAGAACTACTGTAAATTTGATCTCTTAGTTTAAGAAAAATGAAATGCATCTCAGAGGTAAAAGAGATCTCAAAAATAGACAGTTAACTTGCCTTTGTTTTAAAGGTAAAGAAACTAAACCCAAGTAATCTACTCAGGGTCACAATGCTTTGACCTGTGGTTTTTCTTTTGGAGTTGACAAAATAAGAATTAATATTTTCATGGTCCTGACCCTTTGAGGCCTAACCATCTCCCAAAGACAGTTGGAAGAAAACACTATAGTTATTATCAGTTTAAAGAAAAAAAATCTTATTGACAATCTAGTCCAATGTTTATTTTCTCTCTCTCTCTCTCTGGCTTTTACTCCCAAAAAGACCCATACTCACCATTAGCTTTGAGAGAAGACAACAAGCATGCCATCATGCTTTTGGCCACACTTGGATCAGTTACTTTTTTGTGAATGTCCATCTTAATCAGAGATGGGAAGTTAGCAAGGAAAGTTTCTGGCAATACTTCCTGTTCTTCATGGAAACTCAACATTATTTTCTAGAATTGACAGAATACGGAATCAATTGCTTTCTGTTATATGCTTGATAGCCAAAGAGCAGAGAAAGGATAAAGAAAAAGAAGTAACAGATAACTGTTTTCCAGTTCTTGTCCTTGTATATTTTGTAGTCACCTTGTATAGTCACCAAAGTATTTAACTTACAAGTATAACTTATTTTTCTAAAAAGTGACCAAAAAAACCATTTTTTGTAAGAAATATATTAAGCAACAATCTCATCGTGAAAACTGCATATGAAGTATACAAGTTGCCTACAGTACACTAGCACAATGTAGCTGCTCAACCAGAAACCACCTGCCAGTTTGACCCTGAAGGAGGTTAGGAGACACTCAAAAACAATATTCTTTACTATGTATCTAAGACATTTAGAGTAAGCAAAAAACAAACAAAAAAAGCTACAAGGGATTGTGAGGATCTAGTATTATGGGAGTGATTTCACTATTAGATAGGGATGGAAAGGCAAAGTTAAATAAAATATTTAATAAATTTCCACCATATGCAGAACCCTGAGCCCTGTAACAGAGATCTAAGTTTAAGACCCTATTAGCCCTGCCCTCAAGGAGCTTAGAGTCTAGTGTAAAAAAAAAAAAAAAAGGGGGTTAAAGTGAACTGTCAAATTTTGGCTCATTTAAGTAAGCACCAGTTAAACACCTACCAAACAAAGTATTATTAAAACAGCCTCAAAAAGGAAACGGATTTCAACAAATATTTACTATATACAGAATGCTCTGCCAAGTGTTAGAGAAAATCCAATGACATCATCTCTACCTTGGTGTAGTTTATAGTCTAATCCTTCTCAATGGTTAATATCTTAAATTATACTGTAGAAAGTTTTGACTTAAGCACAGGTTGTAATCAGTCCTTCCAAAGTATCGAATGGTCTTAGGTTAAAGAAAAGAAGGAAGATAAGGGGGAAAATGCTAGAAACAAATGCTAAGAATTAGCCCACAAGTAAAAGACAATCTAGCAATGTGACTGTGCCTGGCTTCCCCCATTTGTATTTCATTCTGAATATATGCAATACTGACCTCAGCCTCTGAAAGCTCTTTGTCACCATTTGGCTTAGTGTACTTTTCTTGCATGAAAGGAATCCAGGAAATTTTACATTTTTTAATGAAAGGGGTTACATCCACAGTGCCCAGGGCATAGCCACAAATGCCATCTTCATCTTCTAGTACAAAACAGTAATCTAAACTGAGGGAAAGCAGGCCTCCCACTAACCTGTTTTAAAGGAAAGAGTATCAATTCATGGTTTGCTAGCATGGTATTACTTAAAACTTTAACCCTCACTTATACTAAACTCACTAAAATAACCTAAAAACCTATAAAAACAGCCGCTGATAAGAGTAGACTAAGTGGAATAAATTTTTACAAAGCAACATTTTAAAGACTCTTTACTGTGTATATTTGACATGAGGGGCCAACCAAAATGTCAGCAGGGATAATCTGGTTTCATTTACCTACTGGAAAACTTGAGCATCATTCAAAAGCCCAACCCTCAAGAAACGTAGTATTTTGGCAATGAAGAAAACAGTAATTTTATTGCTCAATGCTAACTTCACAAATTCAGCTCCCTACATATCTCCAATCTACTGACCACCTCTCCTCAACTGCTAACAATAAGAATGGTTTCTTATTGACTATATCCAGATTTTTAGA